TGAGGTGGACAACATACAGCCAAGAGCACTCAAGGGCAAAGGCAAGAAGCTACTGAAAAGGCTATTTGAGATTCCAATTCTAGGTGCTAATATATCTTCTAAAGTTCTCCTACAGATCACATTTTGTTACCAGGCAATGTCAACAAAAGGTTATTATTACTAATATGCAAAACTGCCATGGAACCTACTGATCCTTCCATCTGAACCATCTGGTTACTTAGGTAATTTTCAACTGCTTATCACTTTCTATGTGCTCACTGCTTTCCTGTCCAGTGGAAGGAAAACCTGAGAACACAGAATTACATTGGATAAACCTGTGTTTTAACTCCTTTGGATAAGTGCTGGGTTTGCCACAGATTTCCTCTCTGCATCAGACCAGCGGGTTGGCATAGATAGCCAGAAAGTGGCCAAGTTAGCAATGTCACTACAACACCTCAGAAAAGGTTGTTGCTGATTGGTGATGCTGGGGGTAAGGGGGCTCCTTTTTTTCCTGTCCTGGCTCCCCACCCAACAAAGAATTGAGCACTGAGCTGGTTGTAGAGGTGGTAGATAGCAGGGAAGGTGTGACCTTGCTACTCAATAAAAGAGGTAAAAGTAACTCAGCAACTATCAATATTTAGACTCAACTTCCAGAGTCACAGCTACTTTTGATCCAAAAAAAAAAAAAAACAGCACTCACTTTTCAAAAAAGATACAGGACAAAAAGAGTGGAGATAGGAGGGGGAACAAAGACAGGAAGATGGGTGGGGCTGTGAGCAAGCATCTGTGCACACATGGGAACTTCCCCGGGTCCTCCTGGGTTAGAGTGCAAAGCGTATAACTGCCCGGGTTCTAGCCTGTAAATTATGAAGGCAATGAAAGAGGAAGTGTGCCAATGCTCCGTGATCTGTCTGGCATGCGGGGCTAAGCTGACTTAAGAGCACACTCTACAGAGGCACTAAGTCCTTGATTCTCAATCTTTTTTAGTGACGAATCTATAGTGAAAACAAAACTACAGAAATGAAAGCAATTATTGACCCTAGTGGCGTCCGTCGTGTTTGCATGCTGGGCTGCAATCACAAGGTTAGCCGTTCAAAATCGACAGTGCTCCACAGGAGAAAGGCAGGGATTTCTACTCACGTAGAGTTACAGTCTCGGAAACTCACAAGGGCAGTTTTACCCTGCCCTATAGGGTCACCCCCAGTCAGAATTGACTCAATGGCAGTGAATTTGGTAGCAAAAACACTGCACATAATTCCGTGGGACTGGAGACCTCTCTGAAGCAGACTGAGTTTAGAATCTCTCTCCTGAATACTACCACTCACTAATTGCTATTGACCCTGTGTTGGCCTGGAATCTCTTTTTTGTTCCTCTCATCCTTCCTCCTGTAATTTAAATTCCATTCCTCTTTCCTAGCCCAGGTCAAGTCTGCACAGTAATCTGACAATCTAACTGCTGAGTTGAGTTGTAATGATGCATTTCTATGGCTCACTTCTCCACAAAGCTGAGCCTCAAATGCTCAGCTGGGGGTTGTATTGGAATGAATAGGTTTGGAGTCCAGCTTCATTCCAATACAACCCCCAGCTGAGAATTTGCATTTCTACCCCAAGCTATACTGAATCAGACTCTAGATTTTAACAAGATCACCTTGGGATCTATAGGAATCCCAGGGAGATCTTGTTTAAATGTATGTTTATAATTAGGTATATCTCAGGTGGAAAAGCAAATTCTCAGCAGGTCAAACCAGAATAAACCAGTTTGAAGCTCCCATGAAACTCTAAGTTCCTTCAAGGAGCAAAGGCAATATCTTCCTGATTCACTGACTATTCAGTACATATTACTACGTGTCTATGAGATAATCTGCTTGATGCTACATTCTACACTAGCATGTGCTCAATAAAGACCTAAGAAATGCACCCTATGCACCATGGGTGCTCTCCTACTACTGTGCTACTATTCTTGCTTGTACACACACTAATCATGGGCCACCTTGTACTGTTATTTGGCTTTTCCACCAATGAGCCACTCATTGTTTGAAGTAAAAATCTACACATCTCACCTCTCCATAGTCCATCACCTCTCACTCTAGACTAAATGTACAGTCAATGCTCAACAGGTGGAAAATCACATAGATGTTAAAAAAGACGTAGGAAGACTACCACTGCTGTCCAATACATTCATTATACTTTAAAGAACATAATTAGCGAATCTTTTCAAGAGAGAAAATTCACATACAAAGAAGTATATCAGAAACACACTTTCCATTTCTTACATACTACCAGTTTTGTTTTGCTTTGTATTACTATTTCTGAGGAGCAGATTATATATTTAACTTGGAAAATAAACCTAGCAGACACATTCTATCTGCCAAAATGT